TGTTCACTTCACTATTATACTATACTTTGCAGTAGTCTTAACAAAATAAGGCAGATTTATATAGAGAGATCTCCAAAATGGAGAGATTCCAAAAAAAAAAAGTAGAAAAATCAAATGTATTGAAGTAAAAGGTATGGGACTACACCTACAATTCTAAAAGTCTCATGGTTTTTGGAGAGTATGCAAGTTTGTATGTTCATATCAATAATCTTTAAAAAAAATAATTCCACAAGAATGTAAGCTCCTCAAAATCAGGAACCATACTACATTAATATTTGTACAAATATTTAAGAATGAAGCTTAGAACAAGTTATCATATAGTAAAGTTATTATTTGAATGAATTTAATGTATTTATTTGGGAGGGCATCTTTTAAAAAACAATTATATTTTTAAAAATATACATGAGCACAAGTCAAAAGCAAAACAAATAAAAATACTTATTAACTGAAGCAGCTTAAAACAGTATGCAAGAAGAATCTGGCTGGGTGTGGTGGCTCATATCTCTAATCCCTGCACTTTGGGAGGCCGAGAAGCGCAGATCACCTGGGGTCAAGAGTTCAAGACCAGGTGGGCCAGAAAAGTGAAAACCTGTCTCTACTAAAAATACAAAAACTAGCTGCGCATGGTGGTGCACACCTGTAATTACACCTACTCAGGAGGCTGAGGCAAAGAACTGCTTGAATCTGGGAGGGGGAGTTTGCAGTGAGCCAAGATTACATCACTGCATTCCAGCCTGGGTGACACAGTGAGACTCCATATCAAAAAAAAAAAAAAAAAAAAAGAATCTGTATTAAAATTTTTACACTATGCTTATTTCTGGATCCCCACTGCCCCATCCCCAATAAAAGAAGAAGAATGAAGCATGGTGACCTGAAAAAAGATTTATGCTTTGCTGTATTTTTCATCTTGGTGATAAAAAGAGATGAAGAACAAATTACTAACATAACATAAAAAGGAAAAAGTTCAAAAGAGAAAAATGGGAAAATAAAAAAAAGAAAAAAAATTACGTGGATTTGAATCCTATTATTCTCTGGTTTCAATAAAACAGAATTAAGCCCAAAGTACTCATCTCCCAAGACTTTTTTTGTATATATCACATTCTCTATTTAGATACATATTTTTGTATTTAGTTTTCTGGTTGCTATCTGCAGTGGAATATACAACTAAGATAAAAAATCTATAATAATGTACAAAGTTCTAATTATAAATAACCACGGAGTTCTACTGAACAATTAGGCATTGTCGATGCCACAGAGGGACAAACACATTGTCAATACTACAGAGGAAGTACTGTGGTTAAAAATCTACCTAAAGGACATCTAAAAAGCATCAAATTACCAAGTATAACATGATATTCCATGAACTAAAAAACAGACAAATAGCAAGGAAATAAATACTGAGAGCATTGGATTGCTTTATCCTTCTATTAATCATATGACCATGCTTAAAATTCACGTAAAGATATGCTCTTTTAGTTACTTGAAAGACAGCCAATAACCTTGTTGAAGGTAAAATCAAATTATTTTAGCTCAAATTTTCAATTTTCTTTTTCTTTTCCTAGGTTAAATTATTTACATTTATATTTATATCAAACTTGTCACCCCCAATCAAATTAACAAAAAATCTTTACCTGGCAGAGTATTTCTTTTTTTTTTTTTTTTAATTTTATCTATCTATCTATTTGTTTATTTTATTTTTTTCTGTAGGGCAGAGTCTTGCTGTGTAGCCTAGGCTGGTCTCGAACTCCTGGGCTCAAGTGATCCTCCTGCCTCAGCCTCCCAAAGTGACAGGACTTCTGCCATTTTAAATGGAATCATTTTTCTTTCACTTGCTTCTTTTTTTTTTTTTTAAATTATACTTTAGGTTCTGGGGTACATGTACAAATCATGCAGGACTGTTGCATAGGTACATACATGGCAATGGGGTTTGCTGCCTCCATCCCCCACCCCTGTCACCTATATGTGGCATTTCTCCCCACATTATCACTCTCCAACCTCCCCACCGCCACTGTCCCTTCCCTATCCCCCACAACGGACCCCAATGTGTGATGCTCCCCTCCCTGTGTCCATGTATTCTCATTGTTCAACAACATGTGGTGTTTGATCTTCTGTTCTTGTGGCAAAGTATTTCTTAAATATTTTCTCACAATATAGGTGCCAGTCTTTAATAATGCTTACAGCCCCTCTTAGAAACATTTAGCAATAAAAAGTAATTTAAATTGTTAATGATGCCAAAATATTTATGCTTATTAATCTCTCGGGCAAATCTGTATAGCTGCAAATACCTTCATGAGATCTAAAGATGAAAAGTTTATTTTTAAACTCCATCAATTGGATATACTATAGTCTTAAAAGAACATCTTAACTTATAATTCCTCATTCATAATGAAAAATTACATTAGGCATAATGAGTATCTGTGAGTTATTTAACAGAGAATGCATATCACTGAATAGGATCTGCAAAGGAAATTTATAAGAACTCTTCAATGTATACAGAAAATTTGTGAGTTAAAAAATATCTCAGTTGGTAAATACATTTATATGCCAGATCTCAGAGGGATCTGAACAAAAAATTATTTTGCTGATAATTTTTTTGAAATACTTTTCCACGTAACTCATCAGACTGATAAAACATCAGGTATATGACAGTCTCAAGCCTTTAGAGTAACAACTTAGTCAACAATTTACAACTGACTGAGGGCCAGCTTGCTTATCATTAACCAACTTAAAAAAATGAGTGATGGATTAGTCAAAAGGCTGGAATTATAACTACATTTTTTCTAGTAATGGTCGCTGTCATTCAGTGATGTGCCAAGAAAAGATTCCATGCATAAATTCTTCAAGTCTTTATCTCAGTAGTATTTTCTGAATTGGTAATTAATTAAAACAGAACTATGTACCCAACTGCAATGAACAACTGGACTTAACAAAGCTAGCCCCACTTTAGTGAACATGTAGATGGAAATCTAACTCAACACATTCTATTATCTGATCCCCAAGTCAGAATAGACCTTCTTTCCCATATTCAATTATTTTTCTGTGTGCTTCCTACAAATGGAAAGTTACCAAGCCTCTCAGTATCCTGTACTGATGTAGATAGAAGTGAGGCTGTTGCTTTAAAGAGCCGTGCATTTCTTATTCCCACTAATACCCAATACTCAATTGTTCAGTTTGAGTAGTCTCAAAGATATTTTAAACATCTTTTGATTGAGCCCTCCTCAATCATTCCCATGAATCTCTATGCACTTTTCCTCTGAAGAGTATATTGGAATGATTTTGTAAACCAAAAATAAAATTCTAGGCCCCTCAACTTACTGAACGGACCCCTCCTCTTGGAGGGCCGAGGGCATTCCAAATAAACATTATTCCAAAATAAACATGAAAAATTAGCTCAGTCTATGATGGGAAGGGGAGTCAGACACACCTCATTATACTCTCCTCCTTTTGGAATTCTGGCATAACTGGCCAGCATTAACATTAAAACAGAGATCTTAAGACTGACAAAACAGACTCTTGATAGAAATAAAATGCCAAATTCCAAACTGAGTCTAGCACAACATCACACAACAGATAGCAGGCTCTGAAAGAAATAGAGGTATTTTACCCCAAAATATTTCTTAGACTTATTTTGAAATGGCCCTGCAAAGCTGTCTCTTGTGTGGAACACTATAGAAAAAGACCTTTCCGGTCTTTTTCTTTTTTTTTGAGATAGGGTCTCACTCTGTTGCCCAGGCTGCAGGGCAGTGGCGTGATCACAGCTCACTTCCACCTTACCTGGGCTAAAGCAATCCTCCCACCTCAGCCTCCCAAGCAGCTTGGACCACAGGTGCATAGCATCACACCTGGCTAATTTTTTTAAAAAAATTTAAATTCTTTATAGAGATGGGCTTTCCCTATGTTGCCCAGGCTGGTCTTGAACTCCTAAGCTCAATCAGTCTTCCTGCCTTGGTCTTCCAAAGTGCTAGGATTACAGTTGTGAGCCACTGTACCACCTCAGGTTGTTTTTCGATCCAGGAAAGATTTAACTAAGAGTCTATCACCTTTTAGGTTCTGATAAGAGATAACCATCTATTCTCTTAAAGCCTGCTATGTGGAGTCTTAATCTATATAAATAAGAACCTTGGTCTCCACAACCCCTTACCTTATCTTAACCCAAAGACTTCTTTCTATGGATTCGAGGTCTTTAGATAACAACTTAATTCTTTCGACCAACTGCCAATCAGAAAATCTTTGAATGTGACCAAATGTGGTGGCTCATGCCTATATGAAATCCCAGCACTTTGGGAGGAAGAGGTGGGTGATCACTTGAGGTTAGGAGTTTGAGACCAGCCCGGGCAACACGGCAAAACCTTATCTCTACTAAAAAAAACACAGACACACAAAAATTAGCTGGGTGCAACATGTCTGTAATCCAAGCTACCCAGGAGGCTGAGGCATAAGAATTGCTTGAAACTGGGAGGTGAAGTTAGCAGTGAGTCGAGATGGCACCACTGCACTAAAGCCTGGGCGACAGAGTTAAGACTCTGTCTCCAAAAAAAGCAAAAATAAGAAAAAGAAAAAAGAAAATCTTTGAAATCTTTGAATCCACCTATGATCTGGAATAGAAGTCCCTGCTTTGAGTTGTCCTACCTTTCCAGACTCAGTCAGTGTACATTTCACATGTATTGGCTGTTGTCTGCCTATAATTTCTATCTCCCTGAAATGTATAAAATCAAGCTGTAACCCAACCATGTTAGGCACAGGTTCTCAGGACTTCTTAAGACTATGCTTTGGGCCTTGGTCACACATTATTTGCCTCAGAATAAACCTCTTTAAAAACTTTACAGAGTTTGACTCTTTTCATTGACAATGTAATGATGTTTCATTGATGAACATACTATCAACTGTTTTAAATTTGACAAAATAGCGCTGGTCATCATTTGCTGCAAGAGGAAAGGTGCACACCCAACCCATAGAGGCATCCTTTCCTCATTGCACTCCTCATTCTTCTGTTCCCTCAGGTGAAGAAGCTTTCTCCAGCAGAAACACCAGGAAGCCTTCTTTAATTTCCTTCACTGCAGATCATTGGCTTGGCCTCCCTAAGAGTATCTGAGGCTGGAGAAGACTCTGAGCCCCACAATCTAGAGAAATTCAGATAACTGATTCTGTTTCAGTGACTACATTTTTTAAATACGTGGAATACCCAGGAGTACCTTCATTAAGCAATATGTACTAGAAGAAAGAGAATTTCAAAAAGTCTCCTACAATTGAACTTGATTCTCCATTGTTTTTTGAAACTCCCTTGGAAGCTTGAATTTTCCTTATTTGGCAAATGATCTGGTTTCCTCCTCATTTAGATGCTAAGGATGGAATTTTTAAAAAAAATTAATTGGTTCATTGTTTTATCACAAACACCAGTAGAAAAGTGAAGCAAAGCCAGACTATATAGTAAGGTGGCCACAGGGCTGCTGTACTGGCTCACACCTATAGTCTCAGCACTTGGGGAGGCCAAGACAGGTGGATCGCTGGAGCCCAGGAGTTCAACATCATCTTGGCCAACATGGAGAAACTCCATCTTGACAAAAAAATACAAAAATTAGCCAGGCATGGTGGTGTGCACCTGTGGTCCCAGTTACTCGGGAGGCTGAGGCAGGAGAATCGCTTGATCCTGAGAAGTCAAGGCTGCAGTGCCGTGACCATGCCATTGCACTCCAGGCAGGCAAGACCCTGTCCCCACACCCCCACCCCCGCAAAAAGAGATTAGTAAATGACTGCTACCATGGTAGCCCCAAAAGGTAGATAGCTCTCCATAGCTTTTTTTTTTTAACAACTGGTAATCGTTTATTAAAAATAATTGACTTAAGCATCTGCAATGGTGACTTCAACCTCAACTCCCGGCTCAATAATGATAGAAGTAATCTGCTTGACAATTTCAGAAAGACTGTGCAAGTCAGTGAGTCACATGTGGATTCTCATCTGGAAACAATGCCATGTCTCAGAACCTTCATAAGAAATTTTTCTTGTAATGCTTCTCAAAGTTTCCGTAGGCATGCAAACTGGTCCTTTCACTTTGAGATTCTTTTCCTTTGCTCTACTGATCAAGTCAGCACACACCTTCTCCAAGGATTTTAAGTTGCAGCTCGTTAGAGTGATTCTAATTTGGCAAACTGCCACCTCTGGCTCCAAGGGCATTTTTCTTTATCTCCTGACCAAGCTGTTTCTTGGTGAGAGCCAACAACAGTGAGTCAGGAGCAAGAGCAGGCTCACCACAACTCCGCACCACCTACAAGCATGTTTATCAAAGAGTTATATTTTTTCTTTAAACCTAAAACATTCAGGAAAGTGAACAGTCCCAACTTACAAGTGACTATGAATTTTCTGACTATGAAAGAGAAAAGACAACATGCTTAAATTCCTGTTCTATCTCTTGCCAAGGCTCCCAAATGCCAATCTTAACTCATTCAACCCCTGACCCTTCAATTCCATTAATCCAACTAGATCCACCTACCTACACTCTTCCAACCTGGACTCTATCTTCAACTTCATACAACTGTGTCCTGCCCTCCAACCGAAGCTCATTTCTGAGCCAAAGACTTGCGAAGATCAAGGCATGACCATTTTGAAAATCTCTGTCTATCAGCTTCTTCCCATACCCCCAAATCTCCCCATTTTTTTCATCTCCATCATTGACTCTCCTCTTCCAATTTTCTCTAAATGCCTTTGTAAAATGCAAAGTCCTTCAGGTGCCGTTAGGACAATCACAAATGGATTACAACAATGGATGCGGTTACAAGGGAATCCTGTCCACCCTTCCATGGATTCAGGGAACTCCTGATGTTCCATTTAATATCCAGAAACACCAAGGCAATGAGCAACCCTATCTACAACAGCCAGATGTAGATCTAGGTCAAGATCTAGATATTAAAAGAACTGTATCACCACAAGGGCTCCAAAATTTCTCTCCATTCTCAATTCTGGTTTCTTGCAAACTTTCAGAAAAGTTTCATATCTAGAGATTCAAATTTAAAAAGAAAAGAAAAGAAAAAAAGACTATCTTTCTGGTTGCTCCAATTATATTATGGAAAGGCCTAGTAGTATCAGCTCAACTCTAGCCCCCTACAGTAGGGATCCCCAACCCCCAGACCATAGACAGTACCAGTCTGTGGCCTGTTAGGAACCGGGCCGCAGAGCAGGCAGGAGGTGAGTAGCAGGCAAACAAGTGAAGCTTCATCTCTATTTACAGTCACTTCCCATAGCATTACCACCTGAGCTCCACCTCCTGTCAGATCAGTGGTGGCGTAAGAATTCTCATAGCAGCGTGAACCCTACTGTGAACTGCACATGCAAGGGATCTAGGTTGAGCGCTCCTTATGAGAATCGAATGCCTAGTGATCTGTCACTGTCTCCCATCACCCCCAGACTAGACTGCCTAGTTGCATGAAAACAAGCTCAGGACTCCCACTGATTCTACATTAAGGTGAGTTGTATGATTATTTCATTATATATTACAATGTAACAATAATCAAAATAAAGTGCACAATAAATGTAACACATGTGAGTCTTCCCGAAACCTTCTTCCCTTTAGAATATATCACAAACTAGAAAGTATACATACCCCCGACCCTGGTCAGTGGAAAAACAGTCTTCCATGAAACTGGTCTCTGGTCCCAAAAAGGTTGGGGACCGCTGCCCTACAGTTTTCAAGATATGAAGTAACTAATTGGCAAAACATAGCTGCACTGACCTCACCTGAACTGCCAAGAACCACAGGCCACATCTAGGTCCATCCCAACGTCTGGAGTAATCTTGGCTAAATTCTTCCACATCTCAAGTTTCTAATGTTTTCATGGAGTGGGTTAACACTGCTGTTTCCTAGTGGGACTATTACACTAAATTAGTAAACATGTGAGCCTATGGTAACAGAAGTTATACAGTTATGAACAAGTTTCTGTACATTTATTTCATAATTAAAATACTGTCTTAGACAAAGCTTTATTGCGCTTTTCTTCTGTGTGTCCATATTTTCATATTAGCATGAAAACAAAACTAGGTTCTTCAATTCATTTCTCTTATTTAGGTACGCATTATCTGATGACAAGTTTGTATTTTTTTTTAAATGTAACTGTGCCTAGCAGAAAATCTACTTGTGAGTAGACATTTAAAAGATGGGTGTACGACTGAATTACTGAGCAGAAAATTACCCCTTACTTATTTTCTATACAATTTCCTTACAACCAATCTTTTTGGTTATATATCTTTCAGGCTATATGATAAATATAAACAGGTAAATGATAATCACTGGTTATAAGAGTTTCTAAAATATGCTGTTTTCATGCATGTATCAAGACACTCTTTGGAAACTGGTAATAGCAAAGAACTTTTCTACTACTAGTTTCCAGTTAAAAACTGGGCTGTTTCTAGCTACAGCTTTAACCCTAGATTATTAGTGATGCTAACACTTGATTCCAAATAGTCTTCTTTTCCCCAAATAAAAAAAACTTAGATAAAAACAGGTTTTAATTTATATTTCATCACACAGAGAAATTACAAGTTCCAATTTCTTAAGGGTTTTCTTTCAATGTGGAAATTTACCTTAGAGCAAGAGAAAAATAAAAACAATACGTGGTATGCTCACATTTTTGAGAAGTAATGCTAAAAAGTTTTTTAAGAAAGACATGCATACCTATAGAGCAATTGTCATGTGTAAGATTAAAAGATGGAATCACAATTTTATACTGTGTTACAAGCCACAAATATCTCATTTGTTGTCCAGACTTCCCTTTTTGGAAGTTGAAAAATACTTTCAATTGGATACCAATCTGAAAATGAAAACAAAAATAACTTTTTAAGACAGTTAAGTCCTCCTTGTTTGATTATGCACCACGCTGTGGTAATAAAGTGATTCATGGGACCTATGTTCATATTAAAAAAACAAAAAACTTTAAATTATGTTTTCGGTTCTGTGACCTCAAAATACCAACCACTAGATTTACTTTAGAATATATCACAAACTAGAAAGTATATATACTTTGGGCTGGGCACAGTGACTCATGCCCATAATCCCAGCACTTTGGGAGGCTAGGGTGGTCAGATCACTTGAGGCCAGGAGTTTGAGACCAGCCTGGCCAACATGGTGAAAACTCTGTCTCTACTAGAAATACAAAAATTAGCTGGGCATGGTAGTGTGTGTCTGTAATCCCAGCTACCTGGGAGATTGAGGCAGGAGGATTGCTTGAACCGGGAGGCGGAGATTAGAGTGAGCCGAGATCATGCCACCGCACTCCAGTCTGGGCAACACAGTGAGGCTGTGTCTCAAAAAGAAAGAAAGAAAGTATACATAATTTCTAGTATATATTCCATGTATACTCAGACCTCTTCAATCAGATTCTGAGGGTGAACCTTGGCATTTGCATTTATTAACATGAATTTAAGATTTTCCGAAATATACCAACCCTGCATACAAATGACGACAAAAAAGCTGGATAAACATCAAATAATTTACCTTAATCTAATACCTCTATCAAAAAACATAGTTGCCTTCAATTTTTGTTTGTTTGTTTTTTAATATACAAATCACTATTACCTAACAGTTTACCTCCACCTGCCTAACAAGACATAGTCATTATTGCCAAAACAATCTTAAGTACTGGTCCAGCATATCTCTCATCATAAAAAAGCCACCAAAGATCCAAACTCAGACCAGATGTCCAGACTTCAACATAATAGCAATTTTTCCCAAGGACAAAGCCAAAAATCGATCCTGACCTAAATGGGAATTCCTAGCACTAAGATCCATCCTTATAAGCCCTTTCTGGGGATATGCATTTTAAGTGGATTGTAGAAGTATGTTCCCTGAACAGGTTAACATAGGATATTCATCAAAAGAATCAATTATCAACAGGTAGAGAGTGAGCAGGGCCCAACAAAAATAGGTCATACCAGTAGCAACTTTGGACAGAAAACAGATGAGTGTTGAAGGTCAGAGGGACAAGATATAAACTACATTCACTTTCTTTACAAATGTATCAGTCAGTAGGTGGAACCACTAACAAGATTTTAACTAAAAGATATGCAGTCCTAAATTACTGAAACTGTTTTTTGTTAAGCTCCCACACCTCTCTACATATACAGGGATACATGAGAAAGCGTTAAGTGAGAAAAATTCCATTAAAAGAGGATGAACATGTAACAAAATCCAATACCAGGCTTGAAAAATCTTGCAATCATAAATTCTGTGGATAATGAAATACTCTGCATCGTCACACCCAGACCAATAAGAGCATTATATATGCATATTTTTTGTACTCAGAAGGATGAAGTATGTAACTGTCTACTGTACCACGTCGTTTGAAAACACTAGAAAATTCTACAATTCTTCAAGTTTTCAAATAAATACCCTGTCCATCTTAAACTTGAAATGCACTTCAAATTGCTAACATCGAATTTATTGTTGACTGTAGATGTTGTCACTTCTATTTTCCTTGTAAAAGGATGCTAAATAAGGTTCCAAAGAATGATTGCTACGTTAACCAAAATTATGCACTGCCAAGCTGTCTCCAGCATCAACTCTGAAAGACAGATAGGAAAGAATCAAAAATACAGTTTCCTACATGAAAGTCGAAGCATTGCTTCTTTCTTTGTTCTCTTCTGTGGGATTTTTCCATTGTCCTCCCAAATGTGACAATTTGCAAATACCCATATCTAGAAGCATATTCTATGAGAGAAAAGACCCCAGTTTTGAAACTCGAAAAAGTGCTTTAATAATTGTAAGCAAAGGTTCAGCAAATCAGCTAGCACTAATCTTGACCAAATGGGTGAGTCAGCCTTGTCACAGAGATATTTAACATTTAAAATCCTACAAACATGGTAACTCCAAGCATTCTACCAAGAACAAAGAATAAACCCTTGAATAATCACTTGTAAGGACTAACAACTTGTATTTAACATATTTTACACTGAAGTACTAGATGGTCTCTATAGTTCCTTTTAGCTCAAACCTTCCTTAATTTTTCGAGTAACTTCACCAGACTATTCTTTGAGTCTTAGTAATTACAAATAGGACCTGAATGAGAAAGAAAATTCAGAATTAAAGTTCTTATCAGTAAGCCTAATTAAACAGTACAGACAGAAAGATGGCAGTAGAATAAAGCATTCTACATTAGGAGAAGGGAGAATATAATCAGTAGTTCGCAGCCCCATCAATGAAGCGCAGCATACAACAAAGTCTGGCTGGGATTTGGGATATAATGGACAATATCTGTCTGCCCTTGGGTGGCAACTAACATACCTATACAGTGATAGACAGTGGAGCCTTTGAAAGCGATACTCCACCTGAAGTAACCAACCACCCTCAGGAAAACATGTCAAACCAGAGAGTGAATCCTCTAATTTTAGTGAGTTGTTTCCCTTACTGGCAGTTTTCCTACTTTCTATCTTAAAAGGAAATCCACACACTCAGCGCCGCAAAATGGTAAAACATCTCACCCCTATATTGTGACTCTGGCACCTGTGGTCAGAACAAAAGCTATCGTTTTAACTAGGGTAGGATTTATGCTCCCGGTTCAGTAAAGGGCAGTGGCTACCGGCAGGGTGCAGGCAGGCTCCCTGCGTTGACTCTCGCTTCCTGTCACACTGTGGTTATCACCGTGACGGACCCTTGACATTAACAAGTCTTCGACTGAATAACTGATGGGACCTGCAGCCGGTGAGGGGGAAGCATGGTGGCCCTGCGGAGTGCCTTGGCGGGGCCAGGAGGATGGCACTGCGGTCAGGCATCTCTGAGGCCCCGAGTCGGGTGAGCGAGCCTTTCTTGAAGTTTCCCTTCCTTCCACAACAAGCCTCCCACCCTCTCCCCCACCCCCGCCCTGGTAGGAAAAGTCACACCGGCAGCTCACTGAAGGGCAGTGGGACAGCTCCGGGCGCCCCACAAAAGTTGGGTTGGGCAGCGGCCACAGCTTAACGCTCCTGCAGGAGTCGGGCCGACACCGCTTCCTCCCGGGGCAAACCTGAACTGCCAACTTTCCCGATGCCCACTCCTCTGCGCGCAGCAGCCCAAACTTTGAGGTTCGCCCACCGGCCGCACCCCGGGCTTGCGGCGGCGGCGCTGACCTTCACGCGAGCCCGGGGCCCAGCAAAGGCCGCCGCCCGCCCCCCCTAAGTCCCATTTCCCTGCCTCCCCAAGATCCCATCTCCCTGCCTCCCCCAGCCCTCGTGGTAAGCCGGCGGGGGGAAGATGGCTGCAGCCCGACTCCGCGTGTCACGACTGCCCACGGCCCTCGGGGCTCTAGAGAGCCCGTGTCCAGGTGCCTCGGCCGCCCACTCACCATTGGTGAAGGGCTCCATTTTACCCCCGCCGCGGCTCCTCACAGCCCGAGCGCCCGAGCTTCCTACTCCGAGAGCTGAGGCGGCCCTGCCGACTGAGCATGCCCAGCGCGGCCTCGGAGGGCTGCCGGGGAGGTGCCGCGAGGGGCGTCGCCGCTCCACTGCTCGATGGTTCCGCCGTTCCGGGTTTTCGCGGCGGCTGCAGAAAGAGCTAGGAAGCTAGAGGGAAAAGCACAGTCCGACCCCCGGAGGCTCCGCGGAAGGGCCAGGAAGGAGCGGGGTTCGCGTTGGGGGCGGGGCCTGGGGCGGGACCCGGAAAGCCCCGCCCCTACCTGAAGCGGCCCTGGCTGCGGCGCCCTCCCGGGAGGGGAACCAAGTTCAGTCACTCAACAAATGCGGGGCCCTACTGCGACCCGCCCGATCCTGGACTCCGAGCCACGTGCACTGCGCCGGAAAAACAGGGTCCCAGTCCCAGGAACGGTCATTCCAGAAACAGATCATAAATAAACACAGAAGACACACCAGTGTAAAGTCAATGCCCTGCTGCGCATTAAATCGAGTGATGTGATGCCCAGTGAGTGGGTAGCTAATTCGGATGGCGTGGTGAGGAGATGCCTCGCTGAGCAGGTGCCACTGAAGCCGAGGTCTGAAGGCAGAGCAGGAACCTGCGGGCGAAGGTCGCTATCCAAACTGCGAATCGCCGGTTTCCTTGGGGAGATTAGCCGCGGAGGGATCACTTCTCCAAGGACGGAGGGAGCGGGCGCTGTAGATATTTTCTGCAGAGATGTCCGCCCGCAACCGACTGTCCCTTGCGGGTGGTGGGGAGGAGACGGAAGAGAAGGCGGGGACCCTGCTGGGCCGAGGGCGCCCAGGAGTCCAGTCCCCCGACTCGCGGCTGCGGGCGCGGCCTCTAGGTGCGGGCGGATGACAAAACCCGGCGCCGGATCGTCCTGCCAGGGCCGCGGACGCAGCAGGATGTGGGCAGAAGGCCCGCCTGTTCCGAGCCTTAAATCAACACCTGCGGTTCCCGGGGTGACACCGCTGGGGCCCGCAGCGAGGCTCCGCGGTGCTAGGCCCGAGAAACCGAAACTTCCCTAGTCACCTCTGCTCCCTGGCACTCTCGCCATTGCCTCTAGCCCCAAGCCACCATTGTTAACAGTGCCAAATCGGACAGCCCCTGTAACCTCCGGGGCCGAACCGCCAAGGGCCCCGCGAACCCCGAGAAGGCTGGTCGGGGCCCGCTTCCTTTTCCCCCTTTCGGTGTGCGCATAGCCACCACCCTCGCCGCAGAGGCCACCGCCCTCCGAGCACGCCACCACCGCCTCCTCTGCCTCTTCCCATCCCTCAGCCCCGGCCCCTGCAGCGACTTGGCTCGAGCTGCACCTCACTGCGCCTGCCAACTGTCACACGCTCCGAGGCTGTCAACAGGGTGCCAGGGACAAACAAGCCGCGGCGAGCGCAAACAGCCTGAGCAAAGAGGGACGGTCAGGGTGTTGTTTGACCAGCACTAAGTCAAAGTGCAATACTGTATTTTAAACTGTCTATTGTATTACATCCCCCACAATACGCGCCTACTTGAAACTTCCAGCGGATACCAGCTACACTTAGAATAAAAATGAAACTCCTTGCCCAACTCTGGGTCCGCATCAGCACATGCTTACCATGTTTTGGCCACAGAGGCCTTCATGTTGTTCTTGGAAGTCGCCAAGTTCCATCCATCATTGTTAATCATACCTTTTGCACGCTCCTCGCACAACTGTTTCTTCTGCTTAGTGCTTTGCCTACTGATTCCATCTTGTCATTTATGTCTCGGCTCAAATGTCACCTCTGCAAAGAACCCTTCTCTGACTATACATGTAAAATAGCCACAAACACGGTCTGCACTATAAAGCCTTGGCTTTGCTTTATTTCCTTCTCAGCACTCACACTGTCTGAAACAATGTTTTGAATTTGTTGTTTATTATCAGCCTCCCTCTCAAGAATGCAAGCTCTGTGAGAGCAGAGTCTTTATCTTTTTTAAGGCTGTATCACCAACGCCTGGGTAAGTATACAGTAAATAATTTTTGCATGAATAAGTGAATGGACGTAGTGGTGTTGAGAGTTTTTAAGTTCACTTCCACTGCTGCAAACCCTTTCAGTTAATGACTCCATACTGAATGATGTGTTTGATCAGTACAGAAAAGGTGTCTGTATCATATGATACCTCAGAGCTGCTATCTCCCTAATGTGTAAGGTAATCAGAGCCCTTAGACTGGCCCCTTGTACTGGCATTTCAGAACCAAAAATAGTGAACCATAGGGGCTGATATATCCCAGTTCAGAAATTATATAGTATATGCAGGGCTAGATTTTGTTAACATACTTCACACATTGTATTGCTTAAATAACACTCTTCTCTCTATATTTTAGGTCATGTCATGTTCCCTTGGAGTTACTTTTGCAACCAAAGCATTTAGTATAGGAGATATTTAAAACACTGCAGCTTGTTAAATTGCCTCACCTCACCTCACCTGTAACCTACAGTTGTATCATGCTTTTGAGTGTGAAACATGTTACCTAGTGTTCTGTTTTAAATACCCCAACTCTGCAGACTTTTGTGGTAAAAATGCACTAGCAACTATAGGTGGATCATTATGGTCTTTTTGAAATTTTTTTAACAAAGAGACAAATAATTTCTTTGCCTACCTCTTGTCTCCCACCCCTTCCATTCCTTCACACCCACAAGACATAAAGGACCCTTTACAGACATGTAAAAATACAAAAAAATAAAATTAGCCAGACGTGGTGGTACACACTTATAATCCCAGCTCTTCGGGAGGCTGAGGCATGAGAAGCTGAGGCATGAGAATGGCTTGAACCCCAGAGGAAGAGGTTGCAATGAGCTGAGATAACACCACTGCACTCCAGTCTGAACAACAGAGCAAGACTCCATCTCAAAACAAAACAACAGAAAAAAGACATGGTTTTGTATCGGAAGTAAGAATAGTAAACCAAAACGTCAAAATATTTCAGAATGCTACCTAGGAGCCAAAGAATAATAATAAAGTTTGTTTTGCCTCGTTGGAAACTGCTTTACATTTGACTTCATAGAGCCTTTTTGAGGGAACATAATATCACAATTTCACAACTAAAACCCATTATGTTTTTATCTTTAACACCTGCCTATCCTCCCACACAGAACTTCCTCTTTAGTTTAAGAATATGACACTTTAAATTATTATGAAGTTACTATTCATTATCAAATGAAATAATGTGACATTGTCTGCTATATCCATCTACTGTCTTCAGAATCATCGTGGTCTACTATTCAACATTTGAAAACCAATAAATTGGAGAGTTAATTATAATACATAATAAATAGCATGACAGGAAAAAATATAAGCACCCTGAAAAAAAATTGCATTTGTTTATAAAGAACTGACAAACTTGATAATCAATGAATATAAGAATATTTTTATCAAAATAAAACACTTGGTGAAACATAGATCAGCAAATCTGAGCCTCACATTTAACAGATGAGGAGGGAACTACTGTCTAGAGAGGGTAGAATATTTACTCACTATCCAGGAGCAGGCATGGACCAGAACTCGGACCATCTGTGTTCTAAATCCGTGTGTCAGAGTTTTCTGTTGCCTCCCAATTTCCACACGCAAATTGGAGTCAATGACAACAATTCAGCAAAGGGATATGGCATAGATGGAAATATAGCTAATTTCAGCTATTAGAAGTTTATTCCATTAATTGTTTAATAAAATATTCCGACTTAATTAGTTGATATATTCCATAGGGAATTTGGATTCAGCCCTACTAAATGATCTAATTATTTTGAAATAAGCAGCAACAGTAATTCAGTGAACACCTTTGAAAATGTTATTTGTTCAGCAGTCTTGAATAAATGGAAGCTGCTTCCTGCCAGGACAAATCTGACCCTCATAAGATTTCCAGCCATCCGAAGGACTGAAGGACTCAATATCTCATTGCCTCTGTAACCCATCTGCAGCACACATACACTGCATTAATTAGTAATGTTTGAAGTTAAATCAAGAAAAGTTTAGAGCACAGAATAATAATTATCTAATAAAGTTCTTGTAGAGCTTAGGCATTAGCCAAAAGACACAGGCAAAAAAAAATGAAAGGTTATTATTTGGAAAGAACAGTGATATACTAGTTGATTCTTTGGGCTACCAAAGACAAAACTCTGAGTAAAACTAGCTTAAACATTTATCATTTCACATAACAAGTCCAGAGATAAGACAATCTTCAGTTATAGCTCACCAACTTCATCAAGAGCCCAACTTACCTCTCCCCACTCTTCAGTCCTCTATTTGAGCAATTTCCCAAAGCCTAGACTACCATATGGTCAAAAGTTGGCTGCAGCAGGGGAGGAAGAAGGAACTTACTCTTATGTGTGTCTTTCTTGAGAGCAGGGGAGGCTTTTCTCAGAAATTCCCCACTAGAATTCTCCTTAGGTCTGATTTACTAAAACTGTACTTTGCAATTTGTACACCAGTCACAGGAAATGAAAATGACGTCACAATTGAGACACAGTAGGAAGGGGGCTTGGCTTCACCTCACCCCAACTAGAGCATTCTTTCATGCATCCCCACTGACGACAAAACCTCCAACACTACCTCACTGATGCCGTGATGTTTTAACCATGCCTTTTACTTAAAGAATTCCAGGAACTAGACTAGGCATAATGACTCACACCTGCAATTCCAGCACTTTGAGAGGCCAAGGCAGGAGGATTGCTTGAGCCCAGAAGTTCAAGAACAGCCTGTATGCCACAGCAAGACCTTGTTTCTACAAAAAACTGAAAAATTAGCCAAGCATGGTGGTCTGTCCCTGTGGTCCCATCTTCTCAGGAGGCTAAGGTGGGAGGACTGGTTGAACCTGGGAGGTGGAGGCTGCAGTGAGCAGCGATCACACCACTGCACTCCAGCTTGGGCAACATAGGAAGACCCTGTCTGGAAAAAAAAAAAGAATTCCCAGAACCGGCCTTAGGAGATGACCAAGGTTGTGGAGTGTCCTTGCTATGGAAGGAATGCTAAACAATTGATTTATAGCCTTGTTGCCTCTGGCCAGCCCATCAGGTGGCCCATTACTCAAGATAACCATAGCAACCAGGTAATGTTGACCCGCATAGCCTACCCATCATGTGCTTTGCCCAGTTCAGCCTGCATACCTTACCCCGATGTCAGTTCCTGCACTACTAGCTCTATTTGGGGAGTCAGTCAGGAAATTCTCTCTTTCATGCTACCTCCCTTGCGTCCAACCATGAAGGCCTTGTCAAATGAAACTCTTTTGGCCTTATGTCAATTTCTATTGCATTGGGAACTCAAGAACCAGTAACCTGCTTGTGGCAGGTAAGTCCAGAGTTCACATGACATGGTAACACCATTACTAGTTTCTTATACAAAGTACAGCCTAAATGTGCTGAGTTTCAGATCACCTTCCTTGTTTCATATGGGAGGAGAGGGTATTTGAACAAAACCATTTCCATTCAGAAAGGAAAAGGGGAGTCAACTGAAGAATGATGAGGTTCACAAACTTGGAAAGGAAATTTATTTCTCATGAAGGGTTGCAGCATGTAGGGTGGCCATGCTGGCAGGCTGACCTCATAGCCAGAAGCCAGAAACAGACACTCTGAAAGAGGGGCAAAGAGAATAGGAATTTATGCTTAGCAGGGTGGTCAAATATACATATTCAATAAGCTATAGGAGGAATCATGAATATTTATGAAGGGATAAATATGTACATGTGCAATGGAGCTTCATGCCCCTTCATGGGTCCCATGCGCAAAAAATAAGGCAATGTTAGCATGATCTGAGGGTAGTTTTCAGCCCTCTGACATCAAAAAATGAAGCAGAGGACATGAAAACTCTTACTGTGCATTCTCTGGAGATAGGACAGAACCACTCCATGTGGTTGTCTCTTAGGCAAAAAACTAGAGGCAACATTAGATGGCTGGTTGATATCAGTGGTGAAATCTTTCAAAAGGGCTGGTTTCTGGTTAGTACTTAGGGAAGACAGGCTAATCATGAATATTGAGGAAGAAGTATAATGAGGCTTGTTTGACCCAAGTATCCTGTTATGAATCAGAATTTAGTTTTCAAGGTTACTCTGGGGTCCTGTTGGCCAAGGCATGGTCTGTTCAGTCACTTGGAAGGCTTAGAAATTTATTTTTAGTTTACAGGAGTTAAGCAACCACAATGTCAGGCAGGCAACCTAAATGTTCACCAAAGATGATAAACAATGACATATTTTAATAATACTTTGATATTAATTTTTTTAAAACACTAAGGCACTTATGTAGGAAAAGTAAAGACAGAGCCATTAAATACAATGTACTTTTTATATAATTGATTAATATAATTAGGATTACAAACCAAGAAATGGTATATTATTGTCAATGAAAAGAACCAAACTCTGTGAAATATTTAAAAAGATTTATTCTGAGCTAAATATGAGTGGCCACCACCCATTACAGAGCCCCAGACGATCCTGAGAACTTATGCCAGGCATGCCTGTAGTCCCAGCTACTCAGGAGGCTGAGGTGAGAGAATCACTTAATGGAGGAGGCAGAGGTTGCAGTGAGCTAAGATCATGCTACTGCACTCCAGCATGGGTGACAGAGTGAGGTCCCATCTCATGAAAAAAGGAAGGAAAGAAGGGAAAGAAAGAAAAAAGAGGGAAGAAAAGAAGGAAGGAAGGGAGGGAGGAAGGTAGATCTAACTGTTATTTCAAGCATCTGTATTAGTTTGCTAGTGTTAGCAATGGCAAATCTGTCAGGTCTGCAGAGCCTCTATTATTGCCTTCTTGGAGGAAAGAATTCTGCTGAGGGGCATAAGGCAGAGAAACCGAGGCAACTTTCAGAGCAGGAGTGAAAGTTTATCAAAAAGTTTTAGAGCAGGAATGAAAGGAAGTAAAGCACACTTACAAGAGGGCCAAGTGAGTGACTTGAGAGATCCAAGTGCACTGTTGGGCCCTCGACTTGGGGTTTTACACACTGGCATGGTGCCAGGATTTCTGTGTCTCCTCCCTTGATTTTTCCCTTGGGGTGGGCTGTCTGCATGTGCAGTGACCTGCCAGCACTAGGGAGGGATCACCTTACTGAAGTTGTACACATGCTCACTTGAGTTGTTTTGCCCTTACCAGTTGAGCAATCCTAGAGGAAGGTCATATACTTTTTACATGCCCTTTGCCTCTTAGTGCGCACGCTTGAGTCCTCTTACCCAACTCCTGAGACCTTATTGCGAAGCTGCTGATCACCAGCTTCAGGGGGTTTCTATCTATTAGGAGATTGCCTTTCCCTGGCACTGGCAGGAAGACGGTTTAACAATTGCGTCTCTAAAATAGTAGACATGTGTCGGGAGTTCTGCTGCCTTGCTCATGTCTGCCTGGCTACCTATTCTAACACTAGGGCTCCTGTAAAACCTAGTGCATTCTGAATGACTTAAACCACAGAAATTTATTGTCTCATAGTTATGGAAGCTATAAGTCCAATATCAAGGGGTTGGTAAGTAGGACCATACTCCCACTAAAGGCACGAGGGAAGGATCTGTTTTAGGCCTCTCTAATAGACCCTAGGCTTGTGGCAGGTAACCCTAGTGTTCACATGACATTTTTCTTGTGTGCATATCTGTGTCCAAACTTCCTCTTTTAATAAGGACACTAGTCACATTGGATTGGAAGCCCACCCTACTCCAAAATGACCTTATATTAACTAATTACATCTGCACAACCCTATTTCAAATAACATCACATTCTGAAATATTGGGGATTGTAAATTTAACAGATAAATTTTGGAGGACACCATCTAACTCATAACAACTTCATTGTAACAAAAATAAGGTTGAAGATAAGTATCAAGAAAGTATCCTTCAAAGGATAGCATCAAGAAATGAAAAGAAAAGAAAAGACAGCTGGGCGCAGTGGTTCATGCCTGTAACTCCAGCACTTTGGGAGGCTGAGGTGGGTGGATCATTTGAGGCCAGAAGTTCAAGACAAGCTTAGCCAAAAATACAAAATACAAAAAATTACCTGGGTATGGTAG